CGATCTCGAACGGCCTGAAACTGAAATTTGAAACAGGGGCTTCACATTGAGAATTACATTAGTTCAAGGGGCTAATATGCAATTTTACGAATTTTAATTATATTGCAATTGAGTACATGAGTTAAATATGTAAATAATAGAAACTTTATTCAAAGCACATTAATTAATCATAGGAAAACGTATAATGTATCATGTATGGATGAATGTACACATTAATATTATATTAAATGCACATTGATAATAATGCTCAATATATTAAAAATACACTTGAAAAAAAAATAGTTTTTATTACATGCACAATATATTTTTATTAAAAACACACTTTATAATATTATATTAAATTCACATTGATGATAAATATATTTTTATTGTATAAATATTTTGATAAATGTAAAACAATGTTCATTAAATACATATTATTAAGTTTTTTTGTTTTAAATACTTTTTATTTATTATTAAAATGCATAAAATAATAAATAAAATTAGATAAAAATATTAAAATGTTATTATACATATTGCACATTATTCACTGACGGGTTGCACTTTTGTGTCATTAAGATTACACTTTAGCAAAACAAATGTACGGTAATGTCAATTAAATTAATGCTATAAAATGTGAAATACGAAAATTGTAAATACTAAAATATATATTTTCTACACACAAAAAATTGATAAATGTACATTAATTTTAATTAAAATACACATTATTATTTTATTTTAAAAAAAATTTAAACGCACGTTAGTATAAAATTTCGATTTGGTTGAGACAAAAGTTCAATCATTTCACAATGCACAATGTCGGCCAAAAACCGTGCACATTAATACTGTAATGTTGCACTTTTGCGTGTGTGATATTGCACTTTTGCGTATGTGATATTGCACTTTAGCATAGTACCGACCGAAACAAAACGAAATATATTTCTTCATACGGTTTATATATGTTGGTTCGGCATTTGTTCTTTACTTTTCTTTTTTTTTTTTAAAAAAAGGTCATTTCCATTTGATTTTTGGTTCTTTTTTTAATAATCACCCGACCGAAAATATATATATGTGAGTAGCGATAGAATAAACCGATTTTGAGTGCAGGATAGTGTTAAAAAAGTTGCACCTTAATGAATATTAAATTGCACAACTGCGACAGGAACCGGAAGAATTAAATTTTTTGATTGAAAGTCTA